CTGTCGGTTCACATAGAAAGCTTTCTTCCCGCTGTCTGTCCCAGAATGTTTTCTCACACCAACAACACAGCCTGTAGAATTCTATATTTACCTGCACAGTTGAAATGAATTTCTGGAATTAAAAAGTCGCATTGAAAAATACGACTCTTGAGCTCTATTTTGGCCCCAAAACGGCAACTTAGGGATTCTGTTTTGGCGACTGTAACCCTGGTTTAAGGAGCCATTTGGCACCTATCTTATATATACAGTAGTACCTCGGGTTACAGATGCTTCATGTTACAGATGCTTCAGGTTACAGACTCCGCTAACCCAGAAATAGTACCTTGGGTTAAGAACTTTGCTTCAGAATGAGAACAAAAATTGTGCAGCGGCGGTGCGGCGGCAGCGGGAAGCCCCATTAGCTAAAGTGGTGCTTCAGGTTAAGAACAGTTTCAGGTTAAGAACGGACCTCCGGAACGAATTAAGTTCTTAACCCGAGGTACCACTGTATATAACACTGAACTGATGATCGCTGGCCATACAGCAGCACTTTTAACCAGTTCCAAATTGAGGTGGGGACCCTGGAGCCTGGAGTGGGGGTCAAATGTGGCCCTTCTGTTCTCTCTTTCTGGCCCTTGAGATGCTCCCTGGGCCGCCGCCCCCCTTCCTCAGCCACGCCTTCCCTGACTTATTTCTGCTGGATGCGTTTCCTTGAACTTTGAGACTGCCTCTTCTTCACCTGGTTGGAGAGATGAGTGTGCCAGTGTATTTTAGGGTTAACAGACGTCCCCGTTTCCCGGATCTGCGAATAAATCCCTGGACAAATTCCATCCCCGGAATGTCCCCGGATTTCATCTAATGTCCCCGGAAAATGCAGTCTCTTTTATATATATAATTTTTATTAACTTTCCAATCAAAATAAATTTATAACACAATTAAACATTAGGAACTCATCACATGTCTTTTTTCTTTTAGAGTTCCATCAATATGTCTGATAATTTTTCGTAGTTATTACATATCTTCACATTTCTTAATTTATATTGCACTATGTATATCTTGGGACGCGGGTGGCGCTGTGGGTAAAAGCCTCAGCGCCTAGGGCTTGCCGATCGAAAGGTCGGCGGTTCGAATCCCCGCGGCGGGGTGCGCTCCCGTTGCTCGGTCCCAGCGCCTGCCAACCTAGCAGTTCGAAAGCACCCTCGGGTGCAAGTAGATAAATAGGGACCGCTTACTAGCGGGAAGGTAAACGGCGTTTCCGTGTGCGGCTCTGGCTCGCCAGAGCAGCTTCGTCACGCTGGCCACGTGACCCGGAAGTGTCTCCGGACAGCGCTGGCCCCTGGCCTCTTGAGTGAGATGGGCGCACAACCCTAGAGTCTGTCAAGACTGGCCCGTATTGGCAGGGGTACCTTTACCTTTACGTTTATGTATATCTTATCTTACCATGTTATTTAAACAATATTTCTACCAAACCTTCTTACAGAGCTTCTTGGAAACTTACAAACGTTATATCATTATCACAAATATTTTTAATATATTCTGTAAATTTATTCCAGTCCTCAGTGAATCTTTGGTCCCGTCGGTTGCGAATCCTCCCTGTTAATCTGTCCAGTTTTGCATAATCCATTAATTTCGTTCTCCATTCTTCAATTGTGGGCATTTCTTCTTGTTTCCATTTCTGGGCCAGAAGAGTTCTAGCTGCTGTTACTGCATACAAAAATACTTTCTGATCCTTCCTTTTTATCTCACCACCTAGAATTCCTAATAGGAATGCTTCTGGTTTTTTAACAAATGTATATTTCAATATTTTCTTTATATCTCATTATATATCATTTCCCAGAAGCACTTCATTTTTTTACATTCCCACCACATATGATAAAATGTCCCTTCTTTCTCCTTACATTTCCAACATTTATTACTCACTTTATACATCTTACTTATTTTGACTGGTGTTATATACCATCGATATATCATTTTCATAACATTTTCTTTAATTGTGGTGCACCAGAAAATGCAGTCTCAGCAGCCCGGAGCAGTTGGCTCTGGCTGGCTTCAGGAGCTGCTCGGAAGTCCCCATATGATGGTGGTGCAGGGGCTCTCAGATGCAGCATCCGGGCTGCCTCCACCTTCCCTGACCCCAGCAACTAAGCTGTGAAGAGAGGCTTCATGCTGCCTATCGGAGCAGCCTCCCAACTCCTACTTGCGTGCAACCAGGGATCTCTCAGCTGTGAAGAAAGGCTTCACGCTGCCTATCAGAGCTTGCGTGCAAGCAGGAAGAGGCAGGGATCTCTCAGTTAGGCAACGGGAAGCCTCCCTTCCCAGCTGAGGGATCCCCGCCCCCTCCTGCTAGCACGCAAGTAGGAGTGGGATTGGGGCTGCTCCGATGGGAAAGGAGGCATCGCGCTGCCTGAGAGATCCCGGTCCCCTCCTGCTTGCACGCAGGTAGGAGTTGGGATGGGGCTTCTCCGAAAGGCAGTGTGAAGCCTCGCTTCCCAGCTGAGGGATCCTCGCCCCCTCCTGCTTGCATGAAAGTAGGAATGGGATTGGGGCTGCTCCGCTGCCTGAGTCTTGCTGCCACTCTCAGCCCTCCTTCTCCGCCTTCCATGCCTGACCCACTGCACACTGCTTCCCCACCACCACCGAAGAACCAACAACTCCGGGGCTGCCCAGGCTCATGGAGAAAGGAGATAGAAGCCTTGGAGGAAGGGGAAATGTGGCGGTTGAGGTCAAGGCGGCGGCCGCCCCTCTGCCACCGCCATCACTGCAACATCAACGTCCTGAACGTAGTATTTATTCACCGCATTTTTCGCTCTACAAGACGCACCAGACCATAAGGCGCACCTAGTTTTTGGAGGAGGAAAATACGGGGGGGGGGAATATTCTGAATCCCAGAAGCCAGAACAGCAAGAGGGATCGCTGCGCAGCGAAAGCAGCAATCCCTCTTGCTGTTCTGGCTTCTGGGATAGCTGCGCAGCCTGCATTCGCTCCATAAGATGCACACACATCTCCCCTTACTTTTTAGGAGGGAAAAAGTGGGTCTTATAGAGCAAAAAATACGGTGTCCCTGGATTCATTGGAAAAAATCTGGTAACCTTACTGTATGTGGCCCTTTGGCTGCCTATGTTTTCTCGCTGCCTGGTCTAAAACAGTCTTCACGGGCAGACCCGCGTGGAGTGTGTTGCAGTAGTCTAACCCGGAAGTTGCCTGTTTCGTTTGACCAGGCCAAATTCAAAGCACCTTCTGTCGTCGCCACTGCCTATAACAGTACGCAGAATATTAACTTGCCGGCATGTGATTCTTCCACCGGTTGCGAATACATCCTGTTTTCACTGCTGTGTTTTCTAAGCCTTTACACTGTTATAGATTGTGGCTCACAAGAAATTCCTTGTCTCTCTCTCTTTCTGCCCCCCTCTCCTTCAGCCATCACCCTAGTACAATGAAATCCTTGTTCTTTTGAGATCTTGGGTACAAATTGCTCAGGTCTCCTTGGGTAGGGGGTGTAAATGATACTGCCCAGGTGTGTTTTTTCCGCCACACCTGCGCAGGCTGGCTGCAGGTTTTGTCTTTTGTGCATCAAGTGTCCAGCTTTCGCTCATATTTCCTGGTCCACTTGTTCTGGGGGCTTGGGAAGGGGGTTTCGGTGCTGGGTACGGCAGAATGTCGTTGAGGCAAAAATAGTTCATTGCTGGTGGATAGCTCAAGGGCCAGATTTAGGTTTGATGAGGCCCTAAGCTACCGAAGGCAATGGGGCCCTGTATATATCCAGCTGCCCTTTGTCAACGACAAATTGTCGCTGTTTTTTGTATTACAATGGTACCTCAGGTTACATACGCTTCAGGTTACAGACTCCGCTAACCCAGAAATAGTACCTTGGGTTAAGAACTTTGCTTCAGGATGAGAACAGAAATCGTGCTCCGGTGGCGCGGCAGCAGCAGGAGGCCCCATTAGCTAAAGTGGTGCTTCAGGTTAAGAACAGTTTCAGGTTAAGAACGGACCTCCGGAACGAATTAAGTATTTAACCCGAGGTACCACTGTACATGAAATAAATCAGTAGCCATAAGACTCGTACCCTTAGTCTATGCTACCTGATCATCAGTCTACAAGCACTCTTTAATTAAAGATAACAGCAGGAGTAGACAACCTAAGGTCCACCATCCCTCAGACCATATGGTGGGCTGGACTGTATTTTGAAAAAAATATATGAACAAATTCCTATGCCCCCCAAATAACCCAGAGATGCACTTTAAATAAAAGCACACATTCTACTCAAGTAAAAACACCAGGCAGGTCCCACAAATAACTCAGAGATGCTTTTAAAATTGAAGGGCACTTTCTACTCATGTAAAAATACGCTGATTCCCAGACCGTCCGTTGGCCAGATTTAGAAGGTGATTGGGCCGGATCCGGCCCCCGGGCCTTAGTTTACCTACCCATGATTAAAACAAACCAGGGTTTGTAAGCCGACAGCAAACCATAGCTTCAGAGGGTGCGTTGTTGGCAGTAACGAAACCATAATAAACGTGATAAAAAACCCACAATTTAATAAACCAAAAGGTAAAGGGACCCCTGACCATTAGGTCCAGTCGTGGACGACTCTGGAGTTGCGACACTCATCTCGCTTTACTGGCTGAGGGAGCCGACGTTTGTCCACAGTTTTTCCATGTCATGTGGCCAGCATGACTAAGCTGCTTCTGGCGAACCAGAGCAGTGCACAGAAACGCTGTTTACCTTCCCTCCAGAGTGGTACCTATTTATCTACTTGCACTTTGATGTGCTTTCAAACTGCGAGGTTGGCAGGAGCAGGGACCGAGCAACGGGAGCTCACCCCGTTGCGGGGATTCGAACCGCCGACCTTCTGATCATCAAGCCCAAGGCTCTGTGTTTGGCATTTTGTATGGGTTAGGAGCTGCCTGCTAAAGGAGGCATCGTCTAGCATCAAATTTGCAACTAGCGGCCACCCTCTAAGCACGCAGCGTCTTAAGTGGAACCAGTGACACATCTCATGCTTTTATGTCTGTTTCCAGGTACCTCCTCGAGCAAGAATTCCCCGGTATGAGAATCGGTCCAGAGCCCACGACGGACTCCTTCATTGCCGTGATGCAGGGCGACGTGGAAGGCATAATTCCCGGGAATGCGCTGGTGGTAGATCCCAAGAAGCCTTTCAGGAAACTGAATGCCTTTGGCAATGCCTTCTTGAACAGGTCAGTGAGGAGCGCTCTGCTCTCGAGATAGACAATATTATTATTATTATTATTTATACCCCACCCATCCGGCTCAGTCTCCCCAGCCACTCTGGGCAGCTCCCAATCAAATGTTTAAAACAATACAGCATTAAATATTAAAAACTTCCCTGAACAGGACTGCCTTCAGATATCTTTTAAAGATAAGATAGCTGCTTATTTCCTTCACATCTGAAGGGAGGGTGTTCCACAGGGCGGGTGCCACCACCGAGAAGGCCCTCTGCCTGGTTCCCTGTAACTTGGCTTCTTGCAGTGAGGGAACCTCCAGAAGGCCCTTGGCACTGGACCTCAGTGTCCGGGCTGAATGATGGGGGTGGAGAAGCTCCTTCAGGTATACTGGACCGAGGCTGTTTAGGGCTTTAAAGGTCAGCACCAACACTTTGAATTGTGCTTGGAAACATACTGGGAGCCAATGTAGATCTCTCAGGACCGGTGTTATGTGGTCTTGGCGGCCGCTCCCAGTCACCAGTCTAGCTGCCGCATTCTGGAGTAATTGCAGTTTCCGGGTCACCTTCAAAGGTAGCCCCACATAGAGCACATTGCAGTAGTCCAAGCGGGAGATAGCCAGAGCATGCACCACTCTGGAGAGACAGTCCGCGGTCAGGGAGGGTCTTACCCTGCGCACCAGATGGAGCTGATAAACAGCTGCCCTGGACACAGAATTGACCTGCGCCTCCATGGACAGCTGTGAGTCCAGAATGACTCCCAGGCTCCGCACCTGGTCCTTCAGGTTACCCCATTCAGGATCAGGGAGTCCCCCACACCTGCCTGCCTCCTGTCCCCCAAAATCCTGTCTTGTCAGGATTCAACCTCCATCTGTTGGCTGCCATCCATCCTTAATGACTATAGTTGCCATTCTTTGCTTGCCACCCCCTCTTCAAGGGGAGGAAGGCCCAGCGGGGATCTAGCCTGTTTTAACTCCACAGCGCTAGACCACATTACAATAGCTTCAACCACTTGCAACGCACTTGGAGTGGCCGTCCGACTCAAACTTAGTAGAGCCTCTTTATTGCTGGTCAACGTCTATATACCTCCATGCCAGAAAAAAAGCTACCATTAAGGCCCCTTGAGCAGATTTAGAGTCTCTCGAATCCATCCATCCATCTTGTTCCGCTCTGCTCTTGAGAGCTGCTTTATAATGCAACACAGTGATCATGCTCTTTGGAACTCCCTGCCTGTTGACATCAGGCAGCAGGTGCCTTCCCTGTTTTCTCTTTTTGGCGCCTGCTACAAACGTCCTAGGGACACGGGTGGCTCTGTGGGTTAAACCACAGAGCCTAGGACTTGCCGATCGGAAGGTCGGCGGTTCGAATCCCTGCGACGGGGTGAGCTCCTCTTGCTCGGTCCCTGCTCCTGCCAACCTAGCAGTTCGAAAGCACATCAAAGTGCAAGTAGATAAATAGGTACTCTGGCGGGAAGGTAAACGCCGTTTCCTGCCCACCCAGCAGTTCAAAAGCACGCCAGTGCAAGTAGATAAATAGGTACCACTCTGGCGGAAAGTAAACGGCGTTTCCTGCCCACCCAGCAGTTCAAAAGCACGCCAGTGCAAGTAGATAAATAGGTACCGCTCCGGCGGGAAGATAAATGGCGTTTCCGTGCGCTGCTATGGTTCGCCAGAAGCGGCTTAGTCCTGCTGGCCACATGACCCGGAAGCTGTATGCCGGCTCCCTAGGCCAGTAAAGCGAGATGAGCGCCGCAACCCCAGAGTCGGCCACAACTGGACCTAATGGTCAGGGGTCTCTTTACCTTTACAAACGTTCTTGCTTAGGCCAGCCTATTCAGATAGGTAGAATGCCAACGTGTATTTTAATCAAGTTTTTAGTTTATCTTTGATTCTAATGATTCTTCAAGCAGTTTTTGTGTGTGTGTGTGTGTGTGCTGTTTTGAGGCAGGCGCCGAAAGGAACAATGTTTTTTGTGCGTGCCTTTGTCCCTGGCCAAATTTGCCTCCTGACTTTTCTGGCATTTACTTAGCCCAAGCGCTCTCTCAGATGCTAACTAGCAGGTCGGACTCCTGCCGGGGCAAAGGCTTAAAAGAAGGACAAACAAACCCTTGTGGCGAAACCCTAAATTTAACACATGAAAACATTTTTCTCGGCGGCTGCCTTTTAACTGTCGGAAGAGGGTGCAGAGAGTGGTGGAAGACAACTCTTAGCAGGGGGCCCTAGATCTGATTTATTGTTTGGACAGCTAAATAATCAAGAACATTTCCTTCCAAAACATCAGGGCCAAATCCAGGAGGCTGGTATTAAAGGGAAAGAGATATTCTGCTGTCTGCCGGTTACATACAGGGCCGGCCATGGTGGTGTTGGCCATTCAGAGCATTAAACGAGTAGTTGTTTCCGGGTTTGGATTTCAGGATGAATTTTTGCATTTGGATTTCATTATTTTTCTTTGCTGGATTAATACCCCACCTTTTTCTCCAAGGAGCTCAAGGTGGCATGTTGTTGTTGTTTAGTCGTTTAGTCGTGTCTGACTCTTCGTGACCCCCTGGACCAGAGCACGCCAGGCACTCCTGTCTTCCACTGCCTCCCGCAGTTTGGTCAAACTCATGTTTGTAGCTTCGAGAACACTGTCCAACCATCTTGTCCTCTGTCGTCCCCTTCTCCTTGTGCCCTCCATCTTTCCCAACATCAGGGTCTTTTCCAGGGGGTCTTCTCTTCTCATGAGGTGGCCAAAGTCTTGGAGCCTCAGCTTCAGGATCTGTCCTTCCAGTGAGCACTCAGGGCTGATTTCCTTCAGAATGGATGCGTTTGATCTTCTTGCAGTCCATGGGACTCTCAAGAGTCTCCTCCAGCACCAGAATTCAAAAGCATCCATTCTTCGGCGATCAGCAAACCCCACCTTTTCCCCCAAGGAGCTCAAGGTGGCATACACTCGGTTAATCCCCAACAACAACACTGTGAGGTAGGCTAGGCAGAAAGACTGTGAGAGGCCCAAGGTCACCCAGGGAGCTCATGACCAGGTGGAGATTCGAACCCGGGTCTCCTAGGTCCTAGTCTGACAATCTAGGCAGTGGGCCACACTGACTCCATTGGACTTGTTGTTACGGAGGATCGGAAGGTCGGCAGTTTTAAGTCCCCACGACGGCGTGAGCTCCCATTGCTCGGTCCCTGCTCCTGCCAACCTAGCAGTTCGAAATCACACCAGTGCAAGTAGATAAATAGGTACCGCTCCAGCGGGAAGGTAAACGGCGTTTCCTTGCGCTGCTCTGATTTCGCCAGAAGCGGCTTACTCATGCTGGCCACATGACCCGGAAAAACTGTCTGCGGAAGCGGACAAACGCAGGCTCCCTCGTCCTGTAAAGCGAGGTGAGCGCCGCAACCCCAGAGTTGTTCACGACTGGACTTAACTGTCAGGGGTCCCTTTACCTATGCCCTTTAATCTTCAGCATGTGGAATGCGTTACAGTGGAGAACTTCGGAGGAAAACCAGTGGGCCAAGACTTAATTCTCACCCTATATATTGTCCATGTTCTGTTCCTTTTATTACTTCGTTGTGACATTTTTCTTCTGCCTTTCCACCCCTTAGATTTGTTTGTGCACAGCTGCCAAATCCGGTTCTGGAGAGCATCAGCGTGATTGACACTCCGGGGATCCTTTCCGGGGAGAAGCAGAGAATCAGCCGAGGTAAAGTGAAAGGAGCAGCGTCTGTGGATGGGACTGTCATTGCTGAGGAGTAAAAGCTTAAGCACGTTGCAGAGTTCCCAAACGATAGACCAGAGGCAATTGATAACTTCATCCAGCAGAGCTCTACCGCTACTGAAGGCAAAGCAGCATACAGTAGAACCTTGGTTTACGTTGCGAAAGCGGCAAACCCGGAAGTATTTTTCCGGGTTTCTCCGCTCATGCGCAGAACAGGCACCTCCAGTTGCGGAAACTTCTGGATCCGACCAGAGCTCCGGAATGGATCCCGTCTGCAACCAGAGGTCCCACTGTAATGCTCACAAATCCAATACATTCAGGATTGGCCCTGTCCATAAGAAATCCAGTTGCAGCAGACTTAACTTAAACTTACAATTACTTATAATGTCTAAACCATGGGTAGGCAAACTAAGGCCCAGGGGCTGGATCCGACCCAATTTGCCTTTAAATCCGGCCTGTGGACGGTCCTGGAATCAGCATGTTTTTACATGAGTAGAATGTGTGCTTTTATTTAAAGTGCATCTCTGGGTTATTTGTGCGGCCTGCTGGTGTTTTTACATGAGTAGAATGTGTGCTTTTATTTAAAGTGCATATCTGGGTTATTTGTGGGGCATAGAAATTTGTTCATCTTCCCCCCCCCCAAAAAAAAAATATATATATATATATATTCCGGCTCACCACAAGGTCTGAGGGACAGTGGACCGGCCCCCTGCTGAAAAAGCTTGCTGACCCCTGGTCTAAACCTGAACACAAAGCATACTATGTACTGAACACCAAACTAGAAGGGAAAGAGATAGAAAGAGAAAGTTTGAAACTCGGGCTCCTTCTGGCCTCACTAATATAGTCAGCATGACCCTGACAGAAAGAGATAACAGACCCAGTTTACACCAGCTGTACTCAACTTCTCTGAAGGGATAACCCAAACATCATGAACCTTCTTCTTGCTTCTTTCACACAGAGAAGCTTCCAGAACCCTCTTGAATTAATCAGAACAGGGAAAAACTCGACACATCAGATCAATACTTTCTGCACTTAAGAAATGCAAACTGACAGGGACAAGGGTCCATTTCCTCTCTGGGACATAGCTTAAATCTTGCTTCAAACCTTATAAACTCACCAGCCCAGTAGGTATTGCTCAGCATAGTCTTTTAATGATTCCCAGTCTTCACAAGATTGGCTTTGGGGCGTACTTTTGGTCTAACGAATAAGTTCGATCCCAGAGCAGGGAGATCGGGATAGCATGCCGGATTTTACTGCTCTTTTGTGGCTGTTTGAACCCCTGGCTGAGCTAAGTTTCACTCCAATGCCACTGGTGCCAGGGGTGCGTTCTCCTCGGCTATTTAAAAGAAAAAAACGTTTTCTATAAATAGCTATCGCCCGTGTTGGTTCGGCTATAAATAGGCTTCTCTCTCGGGGTCTATCGATAATTGCCTCGGCCGCTGACACCCTTGATATTTCTCACTCTGTTGGCCTGGATTTCTCTTTCCAAATGTCCCTTTTCTGTGCTCGTTAGTGAGCCGGGCCTGTGTGTGAAACGAGGCTTGACCCATTTTGCCGAGTCCTCCTGACCTTTCCAGTCGTCCTTGAAGGTGGGAGAGACCGGCAAAGTCTGGAAATTCATCATTCATTCCTCTTTGCGAAGGTCGCCTGTCCCTTCTACGGCCTCTGAACCGCTAACGGACTCTGGAGCAAGAACATTTCTCCTTTTGTGGGACGCGGGGACCGTCTGGGAAAATCTTTTTGCCAACCCAGCTGTCTGTTTGGAGAAGGGCTCCTTGGGAGACCACTTGCTTTGCATGCAGAAGGCAGTAAATCACATAAAGTAAATTATTAGAAAAACAACAACACAGGATCTGCACAGGAGTGCCAGGCCTAATGAGCACAGCAAATCTTCTTCCATAATATCAATTGTTGGTTAGTCATTTAGTCGTGTCCGACTCTTCGTGACCCCCTGGACCAGAGCACACCAGGCCCTCCTGTCTTCCAGTGCCTCCCGCTGTTTGATCAAACTCATGCTGGTAGCTTCGAGAACACTGTCCAACCATCTCGTCCTCCGTCGTCCCCTTCTCCTTATGCCCTCCATCTTTCCCAACATCAGCGTCTTTTCCAGGCAGTCTTCTCTTCTTATGAGGTGGCCAAAGTATTGGCGCCTCAGATTCAGGATCTGTCCTTCCAGGGAGCACTCAGGGCTGATTTCCTTCAGAATGGAGAGATTTGATCTTCTTACAGTCCATGGGACTCTCAAGAGTCTCCTCCAGCACCAGAATTCAAAAGCATCCATTCTTTGGCGATCAGCCTTCTTTATGGTCCAGCTCTCACTTCCATACATCACTACTGGGAAAACCATAGCTTTCACTATACAGACCTTTGTTGGCAAGGTGATGTCTCTGTGGTCGGTGGTTCGAATCCCCGCAACGGGGTGAGCTCCCGTTGCTCGGTCCCTGCTCCTGCCAACCTAGCAGTTCGAAAGCACGTCAAAGTGCAAGTAGATAAATAGGTGCCGCTCTGGCGGGGAGGTAAACGGCGTTTCCGTGCGCTGCTCTGGTTCTCCAGAAGCGGCTTAGTCATGCTGGCCACATGACCCGGAAGCTGTACGCCGGCTCCCTCAGCCAATAAAGCGAGATGAGTGCTGCAACCTCAGAGTCAGCCACGACTGGACCTAATGGTCAGGGGTCCCTTTACCTTTAATGTTAGTATTGTTCCTGCTCAGCAGCCTTTCTCAACCTGTGGGTAGCAACCTGTGGCTAGCAAGGCCCAGAGCTCAGGGATGATGGGAGTTGTAGTCTAACAACATCTGGGGACCCACAGGCTGAGAACTGCTGCAATACACATTGTCCATCTTCTTATGTAAACCGTTTAACTGGTCAGTTCTTGGAACAATTAAGAATGGGAGTGGTGCTTTTGCTAAGCGCTGACTTAGCCTTGCCAGAAAACCTTCCCAAGAAGCCTGTTTAATCAGCGGCAGGTGCCAACGCTGAGAGCACTTTTAGCAAGTTTGCCTTTTAAGCGTCGCTGTACGAAGAAATGAGAAAATCTGAAATTGTTGACGGACCCGGTATGGTTGCAAAACCAACAAATTATTGGGGGTCAAGACTGGAATATTTTGGAGAGAGAGAGAGAGAGAAATAGAAACTAATTTCCCTTCCTTAATAAATCGTTCAGAATCCCGAAGCATAATCATTCCTGTTCTTTTCAGAATGATTTTTACGGGGCCTCTTCCAACTCTACAGTTCTTATTATTCCATATGTATCCAACTGCAGCGATTGAGCCAGAATGACCCCCTCCTGTGCAGCAACGTAGAGAGATCTGAATCTGGGTCATACAACGAGCCCTTGAGCAAGACTTGAACTCGGGACATGCCCTGCGCTGCTTTGTCTTAATGCAAATGTTAGTTCTGGAAGCCTGACATGCAAGCCTCTCTTTTCCCTTTGGCTGAGAAAATCAGGGCAGATGTAAGGCTGTGAAAAGCCGCTTGTGCAATTTTCCCTTGGGATTTGCTGCAGCCAGAGTATTATCACTGTGTCCTTTTCTGCTGTTTCTTAAGTTTTTCCTTTCGAGAAATAAGAAGCAGCTCTCGCCCTGGAGCGGCAGTTCCTTTATAAGCAGGACATTCATAATTTTGCACCTTTATATACAGTGGTACCTTGGTTCTCAAACGCCTTGGTCCTTAAACAACTTGGAACCCAAACACTGAAAACCCGGACGTAAGTGTTCCAGTTTGCAAACTTTTTCGGAAGCCGAACGTGCTCCATTTTGAGTGTTAACACTTCCGATTTGAGTGCCACACTTTAGTTTTAAGTGTTACGCTGCGGCCTGTCTGTTTTTGCTATTTATTTTGCGTCGTTGTGGCTCTTTTTTCTTTTTCTTTTTGCGTGGAACCCAGTTCAGCTAATGATTGATTGTGTGACTGCAGTACGTTGTTTGTTGCTTTCATTTTATGGATCAATGGTCTCGTTAGATTGTAAAATTCATGTTAAATTGCTATTTTAGGGGTCGTTTTTAAAAGTCTGGAATGGATTAACCCATTTTGCATTGTTTTCTACGGGGGAGCGTGCTTTGGTTTTGGAACGGTAGTCTCGTAATCTGGGGAACCGGGTTCGCGTCTCCGCTCCTCCACATGTAGCTGCTGGGTGACCTTGGGCCAGTCACACTTCTCTGAAGTCTCTCAGCCCCACTCACCTCACAGAGTGTTTCTTGTGGGGGAGGAAGGGAAAGGAGATTGTGAGCCGCTTTGAGACTCCTTAAAGGGAGTGAAAGGCGGGATATCAAATCCAAACTTTGCTTCTTCTTCTTCCCTGTGGCCCAGGACCTCCAAGATGTTTTTGTTTGAAGATCATAAGGTCCTCTGTGGGACATTAATTAAACATTAAAAGCTTCCCCAAACAGGGCTGCCTTCAGATGCCTTCTAAAAATCTTGTAGTTGTTTTTCTCTTTGACATCCGGTGGGAGGGCGTTCCACAGGGCAGGTGCCACCACCAAGAAGGCCCTCTGCCTGGTTCTCTGTAGCTTTGCTTCTTGCAGCGAGGGAACCACCAAAAGGCCTTCAGAGCTGGACCTCAGTGTCCGGGCAAAACGATGGGGGTGGAGACGCTCCTTCAGGCTGAGGCCGTTTAGGGCTTTAAAGGTCAGCACCAATACTTTGAATTGTGCTCGGAAACATACTGGGAGACACTGTAGGTCTTTCTAGTCCAACCCCCTGCAATGCAGAAATATGTAAGGTAAAGGGGCCCCTGACCATTAGGTCCAGTTGTGGCCGACTCTGGGGTTGCAGTGCTCATCTTGCTTTACTGGCCGAGGGAGCAGACGTACAGCTTCCGGGTCATGTGGCCAGCATGACAAAGCCGCTTCTGGCGAACCAGAGCAGCGCACGCAAACGCCGTTTACCTTCCTGCCGGAGCGGTACCTATTTATCTACTTGCACTTTGACGTGCTTTTGAACTGCTAGGTTGGCAGGAGCAAGGACCGAGCAACGGGAGCTCACCTCGTTGCGGGGATTCAAACCGCCGACCTTCTGATCGGCAAGTCCTAGGCTTTGTGGTTTAACCCACAGCACCACCCGCGTCCCCGCAGGAATATGTAGCCTCCCCTTATTACATGGATGGCCTTAGCGTTTTGAGCTCCACAACCAACGGAGCCATCCCTGATCATCTGACGGGACTCCCCTCTCTCCTTGCCCCGACGTAGGCTACGACTTCGCCGCCGTCCTGGAGTGGTTTGCCGAGCGGGTGGACCGCATCATCCTCCTCTTTGACGCCCACAAGCTGGACATCTCGGACGAGTTCTCCGAGGTCATCAAAGCCCTGAAGAACCACGAGGACAAGATGAGAGTGGTGCTCAACAAGGCGGACCAGATTGAGACCCAACAGCTCATGAGGGTCTACGGGGCGCTCATGTGGTCGCTGGGGAAGATCGTCAACACGCCCGAGGTCATCAGGGTCTACATCGGCTCCTTCTGGTCTCACCCGCTCCTCATCCCCGATAACCGCAAGCTCTTCGAGGCAGAGGAACAGGACCTCTTCAGGGATATCCAAAGCTTGCCCCGAAACGCAGCCCTCCGGAAACTGAACGACCTCATTAAGCGGGCAAGGCTAGCCAAGGTGAATGTCTGTCTGTCTGTCTGTCTGTCCGTCTGTCTCTCTCGCCAGTGGCCTATTCCTTTTTTATTATTATTCAAAATTATAACATATTATCCAAAAACATACCATCCTTGTTTTCTTCCCCATTTTTCCTCCCTCCCACACAAAACCCACCCACCCCCACACCACCCCCCGACTTCCCTCAGTTCCAGTCTTTGGTTTCTCTAAAATTGCTGTTTTCTGCATGTTACAAAGTTGTATAGATCCTCAAACTATTATCAATAAAGGGTTTGTGAATGTTTATTCAAAACCTACCAAGGAGCCCAGTTCGCTTTGTTGCATCTTCAGATACTTTGCAAAGGGTTCCCATTCATCTTTAAAGTCACAGTTATCCTTGTCCCGTAGCTTGTATGTCAGTTTTGCCAGTTCTGCATAGTCCATCAATTTTGCTTGCCATGATTCTTTAGTTGGGGTTTCTTCAGTCTTCCATCCTTGTGCTACCAGAACTCTCGCGGCCGTTGTCGCATACATGAAGATGTTTTTCAATCCTGAAGGGATTTTCGGAAGCAGGTGCACAAGGAAAGCTTTTCTCTGCACACCTGGTCAGTCCCAGAGATTAGCCTAGCTTTCCTCAAACTTGGGTCCCCCGGCTGCTGTCGGACTACAACTCCCATCTTCCCTAGCTTCCAATGGTCAGGGATGATGGGAGTTATAGTCCGGCGGCAGCCGGGGGACCCACATTTGAGAAAAGCCTCCTCTAAGCGCCACATCACGCTGGCTCTGGTTATACAGTGGGACATCGGTTTTCGAACGTAATCCGTTCCAGAAGACCATTCAGCTTCCGAAACGTTTGAAAACCGAGGCGGTCTGCAAATTTACAGACAAAATTGATAAAAATTCAGTGGAAGCTGTTTGACTTCCGAGGCGCGTTCAAAAACGGAAGCGTTTACTTCCGGGTTTTTGGCATTCGAGTTCCGGAACATTCGTCAATGGAGATGTTCGAAAACCGAGGTACCGCTGCAATTTTGCAGTTACAGGCTGCTTTCTACCCATTTTTTCTGTTTGTCCTTGTCATGAAACTAAGGATAGCTTGATCTAAGGGACTGATGCGCTCAAAGCACCCAGGAAATGTCACGACGGAAAAAGCATTTTGAAACGGAGTGTTGCGAGGCGTCTGTTTCGTCCTGCGTCCTGCTCAGAAACATGCAAAATAAAATTCAACTGTGTCTACCTGAGAACCAGTGTGACGTAGAGCAGCCTTCGCTAACCTGAGGGCTTCCAGATATTTTGGATCGCAGATCCCATCAGCCCCACAAAAAGATGGTTTAGGGAAGAGGCTCAACATAGCTGAGATTATCAGGGACCCAGGTTTGAGGAAAAACTGGGCTAGAGAGCCAGACTAGGACCTGGGAGACGAGAGACAAATCCTGACTCAACTGTGAAGCTCATTGGGTGAGCTGCTGTCTCTTAGCCTAATCTACCCATAGCTGTCAAGTGTCCCTTATTTGGCAGGACAGTCCCTTATCCCAGCGCCATGTCCCGCTGCTGTCCCTTATTGATGAGGCTTCGTTTGGCTGCTGGCTGGGCTTTCTGCCTTTGGCTCAGAGGGGCTCAGAAGCTGAACATACCTGTTACCGGCAAATCCCTTATTTTGGCTGCTGATCCCTTATTTTCAAATCTGAAAATGACAGCTATGAATCTACCTCGTAGGGTCATTGGGATTAAATGGGAAAGAGGGAATCACCTTGAGCTCTTTGCAGAAATAGAGGAGAATATTTGGGCAGGAGGGATGGAGAATCAAATGAGAATGAGGTGTTGTTGTTGTCTAAAAAAACCACAAAATATTTAGAAGAACAACAACTTTATTATTACGGTCACAGACCAGTTCCGGGTCACTTCATAAAACACAACAGGGATACATGGAACTGCAATTGGGTATAACAGAGACAATTCAGATATAGCGGCAGTTTAAAAAATATATATTAAATCTTGGTCACTAAAATATAACCTAAAATTATCATTTAAAACCTTAATCATTTTGGTAGCGCAGCTCGTTCCCTAAGTTTTATAGCAGTCGCAAAGTATTTACACCTCCCTTCTGTGATGTCCTTAGGTCCACGCCTACATCATTAGCTCCCTTAAGAAGGAAATGCCGTCGGTGTTTGGGAAAGATAACAAGAAGAAAGAGCTCGTGAACAATTTGGGCGAGATCTACGGGCGCATCGAGCGGGAGCATCAGATTTCGCCGGGAGACTTTCCCAATCTGAAGAAGATGCAAGTGAGTGCCAGGACAAACACAGAGCATCTGAGAACCGGGACGGAAAACTCCTCAGTTCCACTTGCACAGAGGGAGGTCTAAGGCAAAGATGAACTTTGCTGCCAACCTCGGCTAGAACGTTCCGGTTTGGAAGGGATGCTTTTGCCCAGAAGAGAAATCTCATTTTCAGTTCAGATTATCGTTCTGGGGAGGAAAGTGGGGAAACACAGCCTGCCTTCTAAATTTCAGAGCCAGAGTACCGTATTTTTCGTCCCATAAGACGCTCCGTCCCATAGGACGCACCTAGTTTTTTGGGGGGCTGCGCCTCCCTGCTGTCCCCCGAGCTTGTGGGGCTGGCCGATGTCTGCCCGGTGCGAGGGGCGCTCTGCTTCAGGGCGCCTTGCCCGCCGGGTGGCAGGCTGCTATCCGCAGCGTGGGGAGCCCTGCAGGGAACTCCTGCAAGGCTCCCCACGCTGCGGATGTCTGTCCGGCGGGTGGGGCGCTCTGCTTCAGGGCATCCTGTCCGCCGGGCGGCAGGCTGCTATCCGCAGCGTGGGGAACTCCGCAGGGCTGCCTAGGCTGCAGATGTGTTCCCGAAGCACTGGGCGCTCTGCTTTCAGGGCGCCCGACGCTCCGGGAAGCAGGCTGCTATCCGCAGCCTAGACAGCCCTGCGGGAACTCCAGCAGGGCTGCCTAGGCTGCGGATGTCTTCCTGAAGCCTGGAGAGCGAGAGGGGTCTGTGCGCACCGACCCCTCTCGCTCTCCAAGCTTCAGCGAAAGCCTGCATACGCCCCATAGAACGCACCCAGATTTCCCCTTCATTTTTGGAGGGGGAAAAGTGCGTCCTATAGGGCGAAAAATACGGTAATCATAGAATTGTAGAGTTCGAAATTGGGGACCCCTGAGGTCCTGTCTAGTCCAACCCCCTGCAATGCAGGAATCTCAACTGAAGCATTAGTGATAGATGGCCATCCCACCTCTGCTTTAAAATCTCAGAGGAAAGCGAGTCCATTGGAGGAAGTCCCATCCTACTGTCAAACAGCTATTGCTGTCAGACAGTTCTTCCTAACCTTGAGTTGGAATCGCCTTTCTTGTAATTTTAATCTGCCGTCATAATCAGAATTATATTTCATACCCCACCCATCTGACTGGGTTTCCCCAGCGTCTCTGAGCAGCTTCTGACATAATAAAAACACAGCAATATGTCAAACATTAAAAGCTTCCCTATACAGGGCTGCCTTCAGAAGTCTTCGAAAAGTTGTGTAGTTGTTTATCTCCTTGACATCTGCTGGGCATTCCACAGGGCGGGCGCCACCACCGAGAAGGCCCTGTAACTTCACTTCTCACAGGGAGGGAACCGCCAGAAGGTCCTCGGAGCTGGACCTCAGTGTCCAGGCCGAACGATGGGGGGTGGGGATGCTCCTTCAGGTTTAATGGGCCAGAGCCATTTAGGGCGTTAAAAGTCAACTCCATCGACAGCCCTCCAGATATTTGAAGATGGCTATCCTTTCACCTCCCAGTTTCCTCTTCCAGGCTAAACGTACCCAGCTCCCTTGACCATTCCTCATAAGGCCGTTGTTCTCAAAGGGTGTGGCACGCCACAGTGGCGTGGTCGGATGTGATGGCAATTGTGGCAGGAAGATTCAAGGACAATCAAAGAAGCATTTAAACGTTTCAGTGTAGTATAGTATCAAAATAATTTGGGGGGATACTCAAAAGAAGCAGTATCCAGGCCTCTCCTCAAGAGCATTGGCCGTTCTTCTGTGCTTCTCCATAACGTATTGCCGTGAAGAGGGATTTTCAACTCTGGCAAATAGGAAAGATCAGAAAAGAGAAAGCTGCCTTTCTGCTGATGAGGGGATGGCAGTTTGTCTCAAGTCAAACCTAATAAAAGTGAGATTACCCTGCAAAAGGCAGTTCACACTTCTCATTAAATCTGCCAGGTATAGATAGGTATATTTTTCAAAACCAAGCACTGCTAGGAGCTGATTCTCCCCCCAACCAAATGTATTTCTTGCCAATTTAAAAATCAGTGTGGCGAATTTTTATTCCGGAGGGAAAACGTTTGAGAGCTACTTCTCAGGAGGCTTGGTTGTAATAAATAATAACAATAAAATTTTATTTATATCCCCCCCTCCCCAGCCAAAGCGGCTAATGACAGTAAAAATAGCACAGTTTACATAAAATCACAATCAATTAATTGAAATACCTTCTAAAATCAATTCAGAATCAAATTCATGGCAACCATTGGGCTAGAGTTCCTGTGAGGATTACCAAGGAGGGGGTCAGGCTGTGCCTTGGCCAAAGGCCTGGTGGAACAGCTCTGTCTTGCAGGCCCTGCGGAAAGATGTCAAGTCCCGCAGGGCCCTAGTCTCTTGTGACAGAGCGTTCCACCAGATCGGGGCAATGGCCGAAAAAGCCCTGGCTCTGGTTGAGGCCAGCCTAACCTCTCTGTGGCCCGGGACCTCCAAGATGTTTTTGTTTGAAGACCGTAAGGTCCTCCATGGGACATACCAGGAGAGGCGGTCCTGTAGGTACGAGGGTCCTGGGCCGTATGGGGCTTTAAAGATTAAAACCAGCACCTTGAACATGATCCTGTACTCCACCTGGAGCCATTGCAGCTGGTATAGCACCGGGTGAATGTGATCCCGCTGCGAGGACCCCGTAAGGAGTCTCGCCGTGGCATTCTGCGCCCGCTGGAGTTTCTGGGTCAGTCTCAAGGGCAGCCCCACGTAGAATGAGTTACAATAATCAAGTGTGGAGGTGACCGTCACGTGGATCACAGTGGCAAGGTCAGGGCGAGCGAGGTAAGGAGCCAACTGCTTAGCTTGGCGGAGATGAAAAAATGCCGCCTTTGTTATAGCTGCAATCTGCGCCTCCATGGAAAGGGAGGTGTCGAAGATTACACCCAAACTCTTAACGGACGGTGCTGGCACTAATTGCGCCCCCGCAGGAGATGGCCCCCCAATCCCATATCGTCCCGTCCCAGCCAAAGGTGATTGCGATCCCCTGTCTTAACGCTGAATTGCCCGTCGCTCTGTCTTTCAGGAGCAGCTACAGGGCCAAGACTTCAGTAAGTTCCAGCCCTTGAAGAGCAAACTGCTGGATGCCGTTGAGGATATGCTTGCCAGCGATATCGCCCAGCTGATGGTGCTGGTGCGCCAGGAGGAGTCCCAGCGGCCGGTGCAGATGGTGAAAGGGGGCGCCTTCGAGGGCACCCTGCACGGCCCCTTTGGGCATGGCTATGGCGAGGGCGCCGGCGAAGGGATCGATGACGCCAACTGGGTGGTGGCCAGGGACAAGCCCATGTACGACGAGATCTTCTACACGCTTTCGCCGGTGGACGGGAAGATAACCGGCGCCAACGCCAAGAAGGAGATGGTGAGGTCCAAGCTGCCGAACACTGTCTTGGGAAAGATCTGGAAACTGTCCGACATCGACAAAGACGGGATGCTTGACGACGAGGAGTTTGCGTTGGCCAACCACCTCATCAAAGTCAAGTTGGAAGGCCACGAGTTGCCGAACGAGCTCCCGTCTCACCTCATCCCTCCATCGAAGAGGAAACTGACAGAGTGAGAGGGTGGCGGGAAGGAATTGTGGGGTGTTGGGTGGGTGGGTGAATCAAATATACCCAATGGAGATGCGGAGTTGTCTTCCGGCTTCCAATAATGTCCAGCCGTGATGAGGAACCTGGTGCAATATTTTGGAGCAGGCGTGAGGATCCTTTGACCTTCCAGATGTTGTTGAACTGCAACCCCCTGGTTACGTGAAACATATTCAATAAACACACAAGACGTAACTGGCTGTACGTTTGAAAACATAATATATACCATATTTTTTGCTCTATAAGACTCACTTTTTCCCTCCTAAAAAGTAAGGGGAAATGTGTGTGCGTCTTATGGAGCGAATGCAGGCTGCGCAGCTATCACAGAAGCCAGAACAGCAAGAGGGATCGCTGCTTTCACTGTACAGCGATCCCTCTTGCTGTTCTGGCTTCTGAAATTCAGAATATTTTTTTTCTTGTTTTCCCTCTCCAAAAACTAGGTGCGTCTTGTGGTCTGGTGCGTCTTGTAGAGCGAAAAAGGAGGTATTCAATAAACATGCAATACATAACCGGCTGTACATTTGAAAAAATAATATATACTATTCATTGTATTGAACTGTAGATTTCAACAGAAATAGTTCATAAATTTCAACAAGAAAAAAAGTAGAAGACCCAGTGGATCAGTTCATTCTCTTAATCAGTTTATGCATAAGGTCCATCTATGTAATGGTGTCTATTCCACCTGTCTGTTCATAGAGATCAACAATCCACACGAAAGGTTGTTGCAGTTCCACAGAATCCTTTCACGGAGTCTAAGACAAGGATTTCTGGAATATTAGCCTTGTTTCGCCGTCCTGGGCTTCATCAGTAGTACAAACTCTAGGTAATGCAAAGACATACAATAAAAACCGTCAACAACCATACATACCATATATGATATCACAGGACAGTGGATCTTATAGCATAGTAGTAGCTGCTGTAGACAGCAACTTTTACAGAGTAGAATTATATGCACGAGCGCAATACTGATTCAACAGGTGTTGGCAATGAACAGATCCCAAAATTTCTTTCTTAAAGTGACCCACATGGCACCGCAGAAGTAAAACAAACTTAATCCATACTCAGATGTTATACATATAAACAAAAAAAATTCATAGGTAGCCGTGTTGGTCTCTGAAGAAGTGTGCATGCACACGGAAGCTCATACCAAGAACTAACTTAGTTGGTCTTTAAGGTGCTACTGGAAGGAATTTTTTTTATTTTGACTATGGCAGACCAACACGGCTACCTATCTGTAACTACATATAAACAGTAATGCACCTCATACAAAAATGTAATCAAATATCAGATCTAAAGTACTATGTTATAAGATCCACTGTCCTGTGATATCCTATGTGGTATGTACGGTTGTTGACAGTTTTTATATTATTTGTACTACTGATGAAGCTTCTACCTTTTCGTTGAACTTTACGAGCTACTTCTGTTGAAATCTACAATTCAATACAATGAATAGTATATATTATTTTTTTCGAATGTACAGCTGGTTACGTCTTGTGTGTTTATTGAACTACAATCCCCAGCTTGCAAACATGGCCAGCGTCCAGGGATGGTGGGAGTTGCAGTTAGAATCGTAGAATTGTGGAGTTGGAAGAGGAATCATAGCTAAAGCATTCCTGACCGTCCAAACTCTGTTTCAGAGCCTCCAGTGAAGGACAGCCCAACACCTTCTGAGGGAGTCCATTCCACTACAGAACAGCTCTCACTTTCGGAAAGTTCTTCCTGATGTTTAGCCGGAATCTCCTTGTAATTTGAATCCATTGTTTCGGGTCCTTATCTCAGGAGCAGCAGAAAACAAGCATGCCCCCTCTTCCATGGGACAACTCTTGAGATATTTGAAGATGGCTCTCATATCTCCTCTTTTCCAGGCTAAACGTACCCAGCTCCTTCAACCGTTCCTCATCAGGCATGGCTTCCAGTCCCTTGATTATCCTCTCCACATACTCCAGCTCAGGGGTCGGCAAACTAAGGCCCAGGCCCAGTTGCCTTCAGGATCCGGCCCGTGAACAGTCCATAGATCGGCATAGGGATTCTGTTCGTTCAGGCTGTGCCATTCCCCCCCTGCGCCATTCCTTTCCCCCCACACACACACCGCTCCTCCTCCCTCCCTCCTCCCGGTTTCTCCCTGCCCTGCCTAGAGGAGGAAGGGGGCTGGCTGAGCGCCATTTTAAGCAACCCTTCTCCGGAGCCAGCCCTTTCGCGCCACTCATCTTCCCTCCACCACCACCTCCCTGGTGCTCCCGTGGGCCAGAGAGCAGAGCGGACGAGCTCGCTTTGCCTACTCACGAGAAGCAGTGGCGGTGGCAGCCCCTGGGAGGTAAGCGGAGCGGCTGGGGCTGGAGGTGGGGGGTGAGGAGGAGGACTGTTTGCTCCCCTCGCCTCTTCTTCCAGCTCCCCCTACCAGTAACGCTTCTCTTTTCTTTTTCCAAATTTTTTTTTATTGGTTTTCCAAAGCATTCAAACAAACAAACAAACATACATACATCTTGTAAAGGTAAAGGTACCCCTGCCCGTACGGGCCAGTCTTGACAGACTCTAGGGTTGTGCGCCCATCTCACTTAAGAGGCCGGGGGCCAGCGCTGTCCAGAGACACTTCCGGGTCACGTGGCCAGCGTGACAAAGCTGCATCTGGCGAGCCAGCGCAGCACACGGAAACGCCGTTTACCTTCCCGCCAGTAAGCGGTCCCTATTTATCTACTTGCACCCGGGGGTGCTTTTTAACTGCTAGGCGCTGGGACCGAGCAACGGGAGCGCACCCCGCCATGGGGATTCGAACCGCCGACCTTTCGATCGGCAAGCCCTAGGCACTGAGGCTTTTACCCACAGCGCCACCCGCATCCCCACATACATCTTAATTGTACTTAATCCAATCTTAGTAACATTGTTAAGTGACTTCCTCAAATCCCCCTGGCTGAATTTCAGCATATATCATTGTAACAGCTTTCAAAAAACCAATTTTCTCATAAAATTAACTTAATCGCTTAACATCTTTCTTTCTTTTCATTTTAACTTGAAACATGTTATTCTCTAACAATACATATTTAAATCCGAAGCCTATCTGAGATTTGCAATTTTTTCCAATTAAGTTCTCTTAACATATTTAACTAAATAGTCTTTGAATTTCATCCATTCCTCCTGGTACTCCTCCTCCTTCTGGTCACGGACTCTTCCGGTCAGGTCGGCTAGCTCCGAAAAGTCCATCATCGTCATCTGCCATTCCTCCACTGTTGGGACTTCTTGTGTCTTCCAGTTCTTAGCTAACAAAATTCTAGCAGCAGTTGTGGCATACAAACACAGTCTAACATCTTTCTTGGGCACTTCCAAACCTGTTATTCCAAGAAGAATGGACTCTGGCATTGATGCTTCTCCAGCCAGCCACAAGGTCTGAGGGACAGTGGACCGGCCCGTGGCTAAAAATTTTTGCTGACCCCTGCCCAGCTTGTCAGTATCCTTCTTAAACTCTGGCGCCCAGAACTGGACACTGGGAGCAACATCTGGAGGGCCAAAGGTTTCCCATGCCTGCCGTAAAACATACAGTACTCCGATCTCTCCCCAGTATGCAATTAACTCTTCCGTGGTGACGTCCTTGCTTCCTGACGATAATGTCTTAATAAGAACAAAGTGGTGTGAATGAATGAACACTTCGTAGGCTGTGATTGGGGTTGAGCTTCTGTCATTATTCATTGTCGGATGTTCCTGTTGAGTTTGGCCCTAACGCTTTCGAGTAAAGCATCACAATCTCCTGCGGGTCCCAATCCAAGGTTCCCTTTCAGTGCTTCCAAAGATGGCTTCTCTTGTGCAATTGCCCGTCTCATGGGCAGATTGAAAACCTGCCACGTTTTCCCATATTTCAGTCTGGTTTTCCCCCTCCACAAAAATCCATTAAGAGCAGAATAGCAATGCAATCTCCTTTTGCAGCGGGGTGGGGGTCTCGCTGCAGTAGGGGGGTGAGGAGTTGCCCCCCCCCCGGAGGCGGGTGACACGTTGGAGAGCCCCACCCCCTTTTTCTATTGGTCCGCTGTGCATTTCCTGTTCCAGAGCCATTTCCTGTCTTTCTCCAAAACTCTTGTCCCCTCCATTAACAGCTTCCTGAACTGAAGATTCTTCCACCTTCAGTTTAGCTATTGATTAGGAGGCTGCATTGAAAGTGGCAGGGCTTACTTCCGAGTAAGCACTGTAAAGTTACAGTCCTCTAAACCAGTGCTGTAGGCACTCCTTAAATATATATATATTTTTGGGGGGGTTTTTTGCAATTGCACTATGGGAAAATCAATGCAGCTAAGAAGCAATGAAGATCAAGCTGGTACATTTCCTAGCTGGGCTGTGAAACTTACCAGGCTGAATTCTGGAACTGGCTGGGTTGGGTTGTCTGATGAGATCTACTTGTGAAATTGAGAGCTGGGCATTCTCTGGCGAAATCCTTGCAACCTGCATCTCAGTCGTTCACTCAGAAATCAGTTTAGATGCAGTTTGCTTACCCTGTAATATGTGAGACGTAACCAGCTGTGTTCTTAGATAAATAAGATATACCGTATTTTTTGCTCTATAAGACTCACTTTTTTCCCTCCCAAAAAGTAAGGGGAAATGTGTGTGCGTCTTATGGAGCGAATGCAGGCTGCGCAGCTATCCCAGAAGCCAGAACAGCAAGAGGGATTGCTGCTTTCACTGCGCAGCGATCCCTCTTGCTGTTCTGCCTTCTGAGATTCAGAATATTTTTTTTCTTGTTTTCCTCCTCCAAAAACTAGGTGCGCCTTGTGGTCTGGTGCGTCTTATAAAGCGGAAAAATACGGTACTATTCATAGTATCAAATTGTAATTTTCAACAGAAGTAACTCATAAAGTTCAACAAATGAACAAAGCAGAAGACCCAGTGGATCAGATCATTCTATAGTCAGTTCGTCCATAAGGTCCATCCGTGTAATGGTGTCCATTCCACCTGTCTGTTCATAAAGTCCAAACCATCCACATGAAAGGTTGTTACAGATCCACAAAATCCTTTCACAGAGTCTAGACAAAGATTTCCGGAATATTGGCCTTGTTTCGCCGTCCTGGGCTTCATCAGTAGTTAAAGCTCTTAAGTAATGCAAATAAATACAATATCATGATCTCACACATTTTACAGACAGGTGTGAGTTCCTTCTGTTAAAATTTACAATTTGATGCTATGAATAAAAGGACCCCTGACCATTAGGTCCAGTC